AGCGGCCACCAGAAGCATTTTCTGGAGTGGATGACGCAATCGGGACGGGCAAATCTTGCGTGCCAACCAATCACGATGGAGGAATGTGGTTTAGACGCGTTGGATTGGTGGAAACGACATGCGACACGCCACGTTGAACTTGCCCTTGGCGCCACACGAGGGCGTTTGAAGATTCCCGTGGTACGGCGGATGGTCGTGTGCTCCGTGAAGTGTCGTCGGTCGATCACCCGAAGCGTCCTGAAATCGATTGGCAGGCGATGACGTCGACAGCTGCCGCGTCACATGGATGAGGAAGGACCGTGGTGCCGGGATGCCAACGGTGCTTGGGACGATGATGGTTGTGCCAAAGGGCTTGCGGTGTCAGCGTGTTCTCTCAGAGACCAAGATTGGATGCGTTGCACATAGCATTCGAGCACTTGTACCGTAGAGCGGAAAGCTCGGACGTCACGCGCACCTCGTTCACCCACGCTGTCAGGTGGGTGAAGCAGAACACGTGGTGCCAAGCCTGGTGCCATGCTCGACTTCAACCAAGAGCTCGGCGCGTGGCACTCATCCTGCCACACTGCGCGGCATCATCACGTCCTGCGGTAGCCTGCTGCCGGTGCTGCCGTAGGGCGTTGCACTGTCGGACCACCACGGCTCCACGTCATGAGTCGCATGGAAACAGCTCGCAGTGGACCAGATTCCTCCAGGTCTGAGATGTCGTGTCTGAGTCTGCTTTGGCGACGATGCTGCTGCACAGCAAACCACACACAGTTGCACGACCAAGAAACGCGAGCTCACATTTCAAGACAAAAGCAGTCGAACGATCCATTCTAGCCTGAAAACGTGAGCGTAGAGTGCGTCCTACGCCGTGACTCGTCGGCACAGAGTGACCTCACTCGATACTCGAGGGTTGGTAAGTATGCAATCCTACAGAGCTGGGGTCTGAGGAAGCTCCCACACCGACTCGTTGGTCGCGCGGTTGTAATAGTAGAGGGTGCCGTTGGCGTCGACGCACGTCTCCCACGTCGGCGGCTGCCACCCGCGCGGCGGGTCCCACGTCGTCTCGCGCGTCATTGCATTGAAGTAGTAGACGTTGCCGTCGGCGTCGATCGCTTGGGTCCAATGGGCCGTGTCGTCGTCGTTGGGTACTCGCACCGGCGACGTGGCCAGTGGTGTCATCGCGATCGCATACTCGTCGGCCATCGCGTAACCATCGACGTCGACTCTATCCACGACGGGCGGCGGGTCGTCTACTGCAATCGTTGGCGCCGCTTTCCAGTGCCGATACCAGCGCTGAATGGAGGTGACGGCAGTCATACTCGCGCTGCTGTGGGCACGCTGCGATTGGCGCCACTTGGCGACGCGTCGGTGCACGATCTGCTGCAGGCGGAGGACCAGGTAGAGCGTCGACCAGCCGCGAGTCTTTCTTCGTTGTGGAGGCGCACGCTGGCGAGTGATACGACGGTGCTGTGCCCGGAGCGTCTTGAGACCCAGTCGAATGTCGGCGCGGACGACATGCACCCGATACTGGCGTTGAATGCGCACGGCCGCCCGTGACTGCCGGCGACAATATTGTCCATAGACCCGTTGGATTGTCGATGCGGCAGCGTCAGCAATGGTGCACTGCATGGCGAGACACGGTAGCGACGAGTCGCGCCGTAGCAGTACCGGTCGTCGTAGCAGTACCGGTCGTCGTGGCGTGCTGTCGTCGTCGTCGTCGTCGTCGTCGTCGTCGTCGTCCGGTGAGCTCGCGGCCGTATCGCGCACGTCCGAGATTGTGCTCTCGGATGCATCGTCGGCAAGAATGTCGAGGCACTGCTGTAGCGTCGCTTCAGACGTTTTACGGAAGAGCATCAGTTGCAGTCGGTCGGCCGTCGCAAACACGCGGTTGTTTGGCTCCATGGACACGGGCAACTGGACATCAGGCGTCGACGGGGTCAGGACGAGCGTTGACGCCGTGTTGTCATCGACGACTGCTACCAATGACGGTGCGAGGACGGTACGAGTGGAGAGAACGTAGGCGGGGATGGCGATCCGGGGCGCGCACCGCGCGAGCACCGTCACCTTGTCGATCGACGACACGACCCGAGCTGTTAGATACCGACTCGGGTGTAGAAAGCGACAGAGGGGTCGAGATTTTCGCGATGGTTTCTTCTTTTGTATGGGGTCCCCGGGGCGCGCCAGAAGGCGTGCGAGGAGGTAGGTGTTGATGGCTTCGGTCTCAATGTCGCGGGGCGCGCGCTGAGCTCTTTTTTGTTGTCGCACGGGCTCGGGGGCCGGGGGGCGATGCCGGCGCAGCTTTGGCTTACCATTGGCACGCAATCTGGTTCTGGTCGGTGACTTGTTGCGGATGTGCTTGCGCCGTCGTCGTCGGAACCAGACTTGGAGCCGACGGGCGGCCGCGTGTCGATGGTCTGGTCATATCGGTTCATCAGCAACCAGAATTCTTGGTCTGCCGTACCTTCGAGTTCCTTGGCGCGTTGCAGCTTTCGCTGCAGAAACCGTCTGCACACGA